TGAAACGCTTTCAGGAGGCTCCTTTGTTTTTAAATGCCCCAACGGGAATCAAAACCTCACGACCACTGGCGAGTCCAATGGAACGCGAAGTGCTCCGGTCAGCCGCTCGACGGAGCGATGCCAATCTCGTCGACTGAGTTCTTGTGACGCTGTCCCAGTTCGGCGCTGCCGCTGCGATTCAGATCGTGAATCTCGTGCCATTCGCAGTGTGAGGGGTTCATTGACCACAACTTGAATGGCGTAGATGTTAACTACCTCGCCCGGTATACAGAAGGTTTGTCGGTTTCGATCCCGATCCTGGGGCGCCTGCTGTTGTATGTTTGGAGTTTGCGAGTCTCTCTACCCGTGGTCGCGTGGATTTTTCTCCTGATCCTCCGTTTTTTTCCCCTCCACATTTAGAATCAACATCACGCGTTTAGGGCATTTGGCTGTCGCTATAAATTTTCACGCGATGGGCCACTCCGTCGAGATAGAATTTGTGATAGCCAGCTTGCTTCAGGAAAAAGAGCTATATCCTGTAGCTCATTGGGCCTTACCTGGTAAAATAAATAAATAGAAGACAAACGGGGAAAAAAATCACAAACGCAGCGTCACATCACGCAGATGGGTGAGAACACCCACAGTTTATTTATTTCCCCCTCCCACTTTGTTAAACATTATTTGCGTCACTTAATCCAAAATTAGGCCCACGATCGGACCGTCACATACTAACAATTTCTAAACTAAAAAAAAATAAAAACAAGGTAAAACGACGTTTCAATACCGTGGGGTTTTAAGAATGTTTTAAAAAAAAAGCAAAGTAGTTTGGGCATTCTTGACACCACATTTGACATTTTTGCCAGACTTGAATCCGACTTGGGAGAGACGCTGACGTCTGTTTGGTGCTCGCTCCACACAGTGTTAAAACCTCCAGGGGTACTCCGCTATCGCCTTCAATTACTGTTGTCGCATTGAAAAAACAAACCCACAGGTCCCGGGTTCAAATCTTGGGAGCCCCACTGGACAATTAAATCCAGCTTCACTGTGTGCAACGAGTTTTAGATTTGAGACGGATACTTACTGGGCAATTCCCCTGCAATATCATTCTCGAGCCTTCCCTAAGCGTGCCTCTTGCATGTACCTGGAGGCAACTGGAATGGATTAAGAAGGGGTTTAGCTCTGCACGGATGTCAATAGAACTGGGATTTTTTAAAAGTAGGAATCCTATTATCGGATTGGATGGGGGGGGGGCGGGGCGGTCCTCGAGGTGGATGATATTGGGATTAATTTTTCACCACATCCGGACCTTCGTATCCATGCCATGGCTCAACTTGGAGGGATTGTCGCGTGAATAATTTTCTTTTGTGCCAATCGATGTTTGGATCGAACAGCGAGATCCAAGAAACAAATATACAGATGACTGGAGTGTCACTGTAATTGGTAAGAATGAAAATAGATATCGTACATGTCTTCCCAAACCAGATTCTCACCTGTTCACCGGCTAATTTGACTGGAGAACATCACTACGTCGCCACTGAGGTCACTTAGAAATAAAATGAGTCATATAAATAAGCTGTTAACCAACCATTCTTCTTTCAGAGTTATCAAATACGACACACACGTGTTGACACCTGCAACTATCCGCAGCTCATTGACACGAACTGTTCACACTTTGTTATGCAAGCAACTTTTGATGTTTGTGTCGTGGGCACATCTGTGAGTAAAAAAAAAAATCAATGACTCCAATCTACTGGCGAGCTGATAATTCATTAAAAAAAACCCTCAATCAAGTACAGTGTTTTTTTTTGCAAAATACATTATCGTGATCTATGCAGATGAAAACATCTTTGATGCCCAAATTATTTCCTCCAGGTCATTCTTGCAAATAAGACTATCCTGGTCTCTTGAGTTATCACCCTGCTTAAACAAACTAAACGTGAATAAAACAATTCTATTGTTTAGGCACTTTGCCTTAATTAATTTCCTAACCAGCAAGATGACACGGAGCATTTTGCTGACCACGCGGCAGACAGCACTGCAGTATTCTGGCGCCGCAGTGGCGAGATGTTAACTGTCTCGCCTGGTATACAGGAGGTTGTGGGTTCGATCCTCGACCCTGACGCCTGCTGTATATTTATAATTTGCGTGTCTCCCTGTGGTGGCGTGGAATTTTCTCCGGGTGCTCCGGTTTTTCCCTCCACATTTAGAATCGACATGCATTTAGAGTATTTGGCTGCTATACATTTCCACATGATGATAAGCCACTTCGTTGAACTATAATTCGTGGCTGGTTCGCTTCTGAAAATGAGCTAAACAGCTCAGTGGGTCTTACCTGGTTAAATACAAAATAGTTTTTAAGGTTTAAAAAAAAGTTATATTAACATATTGTTTACTTCTTACAGCACTGTGACCCTTGATCATTCTGGACCGGGGAGCTGAACGCAAACTGGACTCGTGAGTTTCACTTCATGCACAGGTTTCCGAAGCTACCGTTCCCCCTTGGATAATTTTACATTTACTCCTGTGGTCCACTCGCCATTCAACTCCACCGTGGATTCTGGGGATCTGGCGACATTAAAGACTGGAGTCGCTACGGCTTAAAATATACCTGCAGTGCGGTGTGCACGCCAACTTTGATAACTCTGAATATAACGGTAACTTAATAGCAGTGAATTCAAATGCTCGTGTTTTACGATACTGTACTGGCTGTCAAATCCACATTCTGATTTCACCAACCTGTCCCCGACTAAAAAGTTCACATTCATGCCACGTCGCTGGAGGTGTTTGGACTGACCAAGCATAATCGCATCCTCACAAACCCAACCTTTAAACAACAACAAAAATACATGACAGTGTTTAGATGTTAGACGTGACATTTGTTGGATCCGTCCAACAATGAGATTCCGTTTGGATATAAGGCAGTTAACGCAGGGGACATTGATAAATCGATGCAGTTTTTAAAAACCCACTGGAGTAATATATTAAATTTAAAAATTCACACTATAGCTGTGTTTACACTAGGGAGTTTATTCCGAACACAGTAGTTAGAACTAAACTAACATTCAGTTCTGAACAAATTATTTTCATCGTAGATTCTAAGCCCATGATGCACTTGACCAAATCGATGGCAGACGCCGGCTGCTATCGTCAGTCGCCACACCAATCGCTGCCCCCCCCACCCTCGTGGGTGACTGGCAACTTCCAATCAGATCGTAGGCAGAGGTCACACGACTAACCCCGAGGCCTGTGACTGTAGACCAGGGGCGGGGAACGTCCAGCCCGCGGGCCGTATGAGGCCCGCGAAATCATTTGGTCTCTGGCCCTGCCAAGACAACCGCAGGCGGGACTCGAAATTCAATAAATCTAGGAGCAAACCTGTAAAAGCAGTTGCGAGTAGCAACATCATCAATAGCCAGCTAATATCACACGCCTCACCAACGAGAAGCAGTTCCAGCCATCACATTAGGGGTGAGTTTATGAAATGTTTGACCAAATATAACAGGCTAATTTTTAAGTTGATAATTTTGTATGGCCCGCGAATGATGTTATATAAATATCCAAATGACCCTTGGCAGAAAAAAGGTTCCCAGCCCCTGCAGTGTAGACCGACCGTTGTCAATCATAATGCACACTTTTCCACAAATTCCGTTTTCGCTGGCTGAACGGAACTTCTGTCAAACAATACCAGACCAAGTAGCCATGGTCTGGTATTGATTGAATCGTAATCAATACCAGCTGCGGTGTAGGAAGATCGTCGCGTTTCCTCCGCCAATGGAAAAGTTAAGAATGGCCCAGAGTATGACCGCGGTCACCAATCTCAAACCACGTGTCACACAGTAACGCGACTGCCCGCTTCCATCGTACGCCGGCAGAATTTTAGGTATTAACGAGGTTACTCCTAAATCCGTCCACTGGCTCGCTCGCCACCCCTCGACACGAAACACAATTGTTGCAGCCATAAGAAAAAAATAGTTGCTAAGAGGAAAGGGGCCGTCCATAAATTACGTCACGCGATTTAGGACAATCTTTTACGATTTTTGACCCCCCCCCCCTCTCGTCACACGGCGTCGTAAAAAGTCAGACCCCCCCTCAAATATGACGTCACAAAGCTCTGCCCCCCTCCCCCCCCCCAAAAAATGCTTCAAATCGCTTTAAACTATTGTCATTGTAGTGTGTATTTAATGTGCCGCTGAACTCTGATGTTGTAGGAGAAAACATTTATTAAAAAGTATATTTAATTAAGGAGAACGTGTTGTCTATATTTATTTAAAGTTGCGAATTTTTATGTGACGTCACATTTCTCACCCCCCCCCCCCCCCTCGTCACACATTTGTCACAAATGTCTGACCCCCCCCTCCCCCCAGGTGCGTGACGTCATTTATGGACGGCCCCAAATGTAATTCCAATTGGCTTGCCACCTGTTCTGGTTTTCTCAGGATCGTCCTCTAGTTGAGGAAGCTGGTGTCCCGTGACATCAGTCAGTCCTAACCAGGTCACTAAAAGCCCTGGCATATCGATTTTTACAGTCCGATAATCCAGTTTGTTGCACATAAGTGCTCTCCTTTCGTGCAGCAAGGGGAAATCTGCAGCATTACGTGCGCGTCGAGGTTGTTACGCCGTTTAATATCAACTCAAGCGGTGGAAACCCTCGTCGCCGGTGGCAACCGCCAGGGACAATTTCACTAAAATTGCCCGAGTGCATCATGGCATTTCGGAACCCATAGGCGCCGGTTCACGAGTGAGCGTGGCCAGTAGCCGTTCCCCTGACTCCATCCCTCTGGCCATGCACCCCCCCCAAAACCCCCATAGCCGGGAGGAACGGCTGGCGAACGATCCCGTCGGCGAGTTCAGCCTGCGACAATCGTCGGACGCGTCTCTCGAAGACGATGGAGGCGCACGAGGGCGGGGGGTGGTGGGTGGCTGGCTTTGCTCGAGCAGTGTAAACGAGACGCAGTTCGCGCTGGCCGCTTCCGTTTCGACTGGAAACCGAAGCGGTCGGCGCCGATGCCCTAGTGTAAATGCAGCCGATGGTACTTAACGGCAAAATACTGATATACAGTATAAGTACGTATTACAGACGGGGCTAAACAGGGTTAAGCACCGCGTCACACAGGCGGGATCTTAAATATGCGAGCGCCAGGCACTTAAGAAGGGTGGGGTCGTGCGTGTTCACGTTAAACTTCTTTCGCACCGCACGTAGCCAACCGTGCTAATCGGGAGTGTGCGGGGGGAAGGACGACAGGAACAAAAAAAGCAGTTCTGAGTTTTCAAAGCGCGAGATCAAGCAACAGGTTTCTGAGATGACAAGGACCAGCCAATACAAACGCAGCAGCAGCAGCAGCACAACAATCGGCCCAACCCGACCGGCACCGCGGCCAAGCGATCGGAACGCGAAACACCGAGGCTGGCAAATCCCTCTGGGCACGATTGGCTTCCTCGAGGGAGGGGGGGGGGGGGGGGCGCGCACACATCGGTCCCCGTGATTTAATTTCGCACGACCTCCAGCCACGCGACGGGGAGGAGCTGCCCCCATTCGAAACGGACGCGCAAAGCGACGCTTTGATCCAAAAGACGCTGCGAGCATCTTAGCCCGCTCTCGTCGGCCACCAAGGGAGCAATATTATTACAATTAGTATTTTAAAAAAATTGGGCCTGGCAAACGCCGTGTTGTTAATTTGTGGCGGGGGGGGGGGGACTGTCAACGGCAAGAGAGCCTCGGGCAGTGGCAGAAGTGACCACGGCGTGTTCGTGCGTGGCCGTAGAGAAATTATTCGTCAGAAATCAGGAAAAAATAAATGTCCCCCCCCCCCGCCCTGCCCTCCATGGTAGATTGATTGACAAACATCACCTCCCCGCCACGATTCAATGAATTGTCACGATTCGATACAAGAACCAGTTATTTATTTAACGATGCGATTAATGGTTGCGCCTGCAGTGGCTGCGGGGGTGACGCGTAACCCATTACGACATAAACAAAGGGTAAAAACATAGATTCGTGCGCGCGTGATTTGACGCATGTATCGCGAGGTTAATAATCCGTGTTAATCAATAGATCGATGCATTCTTCTGCTCTCAGTGTCCTCCCACTTACAGTTTATCATGGAGGAGGAGACTCTTGAAAAAACATCGGAGAGCAGGAACCTCTTGAAATATTTAGACTCAGTGACCCTCTCCTAAGTAAACTATCGCTACCATGGGTTTCCGTGCCAAGCGAGACACGTTTGTTAAATTAACTACAAAAAATGTTGGAAAGTAACGATTTCACAACCACGAGGTTACTGTCCACTGTGTCTTAAGCCGGCTCCGCACCTGAGCGATCAGTTTTGCGCAACTTGGCCACGTGCAACCCAGTCGCTTACGTGCGGAACGTCTCTGCAAACGCCTGGGAGCGGTCGACACGGAGCATCGATCTGCTGAGGGATTCGTAGCAACGACGCATTTATTTACGCGCTGCACATTTGCGAGCTATGATTTGGCGTCACGATGGTGGCGTGGATGGGTTGGCGGGGGGCTAAATGAGAACCACGGGCGGTGCCCTTCTCCTTTAAGGGGTGTGGCTAGATGGCTTAGCCACGCCCTTGGACACGCCCTTAGACACGCCCGTTGTTGCACAACTGCTGGCTCAGATGCGGACAAAGGAGTTGATTAAGTAGCACGGTTTCGAGGGCGATTTGGATTCGCAACCGATCGCTCAGGTCTAGAGCCGGACTAAGACAGAGACGTGTCTGATAAATGGAGGGATGAATGAGGGCAAATTGTGGATTTACTCTACAACACACCAGTGTGCTGAACTAGTAACTAATTGTCATGTTTTGTTTATGTTAAAAAACCTTTCTGTCTGTCGGGTGGTGGCGGGTTTCACGACACATTTATATTTACGCGATCTATCCCAAAGAACCTCTATTATGGATAATGTGCGACTTGCTCGCCACAAGGCCCCTGGTATGCTTCTGTGACCCTTCACCTCTGACTTGGCTGCTCACAATATGAGCAACGTTGACCACAACGTAACGCCACTGCCCACTCAAATCGTTGGCCGGGAGCGTTCCAGATGTTCACGAGGCTATTCCCAAGCCGTCCACTGGCTCACCCGCCATCATCAACACAGAGGTTGCTCACCTCCCCGCCATATGACTACCATCATCATTACCACACATTGCCACATCGAGAACAAAGTGTCAGCACAGTGAATGCGGATGATGCCATCACACCGCGCCAACGCTCACCACCCTCTGCCAGATCCGGCAACACGCGTGGCCTCCAAGATCCGGCCCCGCATTATGACGATGGTATTTCCAAACATCCTGCGGCGGATTTAAGTGGGGGATTAGTGCAAATCCCTTTTGCTCAACTGCCTTAGACCGCGTGTGTGTGTTGAACCTCTTTCGCACCGTACAGAGCCAACCGTGCTAATCTGAGGTTAAGGACAACAAAGGAATTTTGCAGTCATAAGGCAGTGTTTGATGACGATGACAATGGGAAGATGTACAGTCGCGGTTGGCTCAGGTACGACGTCATAAAATGTAATCGCTCAATAAAAATGAAATGATTACAAATGTAGAAAATGCAAATGTGCGTATATTGCGTTTCGACGGTTTAGTTATTTACTAAAAAAAAAATTAAGTTTTATTTCTATGTACCGCACGTCAAAATACCAAACCGTGCCCCAAAATGCTCTCATAAAGGCCATGATCCACTCCAGAGTTAGTTTCAGGCAATCGTTGCCGACAATCATCACCGGCATCGCATTAACCAGGAGCGACTATGGCAACTTAGTGGGCAACAGAATGGAGCGAGCGAGTCATTCTTTGATGCAGTCCATTGTTGCCAGCTACTCGGTCAATACCACAAAAGCGATCAAGCAGAAGACTTCCCCCCTCTCTCTCTCTCTCCTCCCCAGATGCCATTCACGCCATTGCTTGAAGCTGCCGTGCCTCAAGCGGATAGAGCCCGACGTCAAGGCAGTCACGTGACCTCTATCTGGGATCTCGAGTGGAAGTTGCCATTCCAGTTGCGCGCTAGGGAGAGCTCCGTTTGTTCGCATGTTTGGCAAATAAATCTCGACTATGGGAAACGCTGCCGGGGACAGGTGCCCTAAACGTGCCTCCAGTGGACCAGGTTGCGGGTGTCAGGGCAAATCGCCAGTTAGAAGTGGGGGGCGGGGGCGACGATTTTGAATGACGGTCGGCGTCCAGTCGCGCCCCGTCGCTCAGAGAAATCTCAAGTGCGCGCGTCCCGGCCGCTAAAAGAAGGTGCGGTAACGGCTAAGCCGACTGGCGGGCGGGCCGATGGGATGGGCGGGGCGGCGAGGAGGGAGAGCGACAATGTGACGGTGGCAGAGCAAGACGAGCGGGGGGGGGAGAGCAGCATGAGGGAGGGAGGGTGGTCGGCGCTACGAGCTGACGGTGAACGTGAAGGCGATGCGGCCCAGGAAGCGGTCGCGCTCGTGCTTGTTGACGATGCCGTTGCCCTCCAGGCGGCACTCGATGGTGACGGGGGTGTCGTGCGTGAGGTTCAGGAAGCGCGCGGCCACCAGCGGCTGCGTGTACATGCCCTGCGCGCGCAACGGGAACACAACCGGGGCTCTTGAACTGACACACCGCGGCTCGCGACCGTGTCTCTAACGCAACGGTCACGGTGCATACGCGGCAACGACGACAACAACCGGCCAGGTGGCTCAGTGGGAGAGCGTGCGGCTTGCAATTGGAAGATTGCGGCCCAGGACTGCTGGGGGTTGACTTAACCCATTATCTGTCTGGGGTCGATAAAATTAGCACCACTTTGTGGGGAGGTCAACGGTGACTATCCTGTGAATAGACTTGTTCCCACCATAGGAACTTGGAACTTCCCCCCCCACTTGCTCAGGGATGAGCACCAATGCATCGATGCTCATTTCAGCAGGAAATCACTTTTGATTTGTTTACTTTTGTACTAACATTAATCGCATGTGCATACATATACCCAATAGCTTGTCTATGTACAGCCCATTCGTGGTGATTTGGTCATAGGTGGATTTAAAGTCATTAATACATTTACAGCCTTTGTTAATCCACCGCTGAAAATAAAGGCCGTACCGTGCGGGCTGTGAAGGAGTACATCATAGTTGTGGGAGCACAATTTAGCCGCCGCAGCCTATGACGCCTGATATCCTAGATTGAAAACTGACTTCTTTAGAACTGCTTTTTGTGTGCAGTTTGTTGTCTTTCCCTCACACCTCCGATTAGCACGGTTGGCTACGTATGGTGCGAAATAAGTTCAACATACATACATAGACTCACACAGAGACCCATATACTCACACAGAGACCCATAGACTCACACAGTGACCCATAGACGCACACAGAGACCCATAGACACTCACACAAAGACCAATAGACTCACACAGAGACCCATAGACTCACACAGAGACCCATAGACTCACACAGAGACCCATAGACTCACACAGAGACCCATAGACTCACACAGAGACCCATATACTCACACAGAGACCCATAGACTCACAATGAGACCCATAGACTCACACAGAGACCCATAGACTCACACAGAGACCCATAGACTCACACAGAGACCCATAGACTGACACACAGACCCATAGACTCAGACACAGACCCATAGTTTGTTGTCCTTCCCTGCACCTCCGATTAGCACAGTTGGCTACGTATGGTGCAAGCCAAGTTCAACATGCATACGTGACATCCAGGCACTATTCAGGCTCAAATTCGGCTCAGCTTCCAAAGCCTTGACGAGATATGGCGCGGCGCTCTGGGTGATTTGGTCGCACTCCAAGCGGCCTCTGCGTACTCACATCCAGCACCTTGCCGTAGTACGGGAAGTACATGGGGTCGAAAATGTCATTTGGGAAGAACTCGATGTCTCCCAAAAGATGCTGCTGCTCTTCTTTCTGTAACATCGGAGCAGTAGAGATTGAAAAAAAAATAAAGACTCGCAAACCCCTAACCAATACTCACCGCTGGCTCCCACTACTCACAACACTCACCGCTCACCTCATCTCGATGCAAAAAAAACAAAGATCCCCGGTACAGCCTTAACAGACTTTTGGGGCAAGTGCTGTTAGCAAGCACTTACGAAGGCTGGCACGGCACACGAAGGGGTGGGTGGCTAATACCACGCCCGGCCGCCTTTGTCTTACTAGTGGCGATATTTACACACCGCACTAGGTACTCATTTGAGGCCGAGTCCACCTAGGGGAGGCTCAGGACCAGTTCAAATAATCGTCACTGGGGTTGGCCGTTAGTGGTAATCGAACTCAGGTGGCCGGGTTTGTAGCGCAGCGTGCTAACCGCTACACCACCGCTCCCCTTAGTGGACTCACCTAGACACAACCACCACAAAAAATTACACTCACCCCACTGGCTTGGGTGATGATGCTGTTAATGTTAGCGGTGATGGTGATGTCAATGATGACGATGTGAATGGTGATGTAATTAGTAACGGTGGTGATGATATTGACGGTGTAGGTAGTTTGATGCAATGATAATGACTGTGACGATCGTGACAATTGTGATGATGATTATAATGCGAATGACAATGGTGGGGATGGTGAGGATGATGATGATGGGCAGATTCTTGATGTGTAAATTAGCGCAACAACAATAAAATAAGAAGAAAAAATAACAACCTCAACTTACATTATTCAATACACATATCAATATTTCTCGATATTTTTTAGGAAATATTATTCACAATGAGTTTATTTACAGCACCTTCATAAAACCCCCACTGATGGGATGAATGTTATCCGTACGCCACGTGGGGTCGAGGGGGTTGTAGGTCCATACTTTACCACTCCGGCCAGTTACGAGCTTGTGATGGGCTGGGCCAAGGACTGCTTCAGAAAGCACTCACCACTGACCACCGACGATAGCCAAGGAAGCAGCGTCGCCAGGCTCGCAGTGCTTCGAGCTGAGCGGTTTACTTACCCAGTAAGGGCTGAACCGAGTCTCCAGGAGAGTCCCTCACAATTGGGAAGTTTGGCCTACTTTGTTAACGAGTGTTTGGCATGTCAGAGGAATCCGGTGAATGCGGAGAAATCCCCACTGCATTCGAGGGGACTAACACTCAAAGCTCCACACATATTGTACAATTAATTTCCGAACTCCCGTTGTCCTCTGGCCAATTCACAGCCCAAAACCTACAACAGCTGATTTTCCGAGGCGGTCCGCCATCCAAGCGATAACAAGGCTCAACCGCGGCGTAGCTTCTGAGGCCTGACGAGATCAGGTGCACTCAGGGTGACCGGATCAGAGCGATTTCTCCAGCAGTGGAAAGTTCCGTGGCGTGAGTTTTACCTTCCCGTCGCAGGTGACTTTGACCGGATTCGTGTGATTTCCCGGCTTGAAACCGATTATCTGCAGAAGAGGAACATTGGCGGTAAACGTACGGCGCGTCCAAAGGTGGGCTCGCGAATGTACAGGAAGTGGTGCGTTCCTGCTGCCTGTGAGCTGAACAAGCATTGTGTGTGTCATTAAATATCTTGAGCTCGTGGTCTAGGCCAGTTGTTTTTCAACTGGAGGTACGCGGACCACCCCCCCCCCCACCCCGGGGGTACGTGGCAATGTCCCAGGGGGGTCTGTGAGGTGATTTATAAAAGGGTGTGGAATTCTACCACACGTGAGAGTAATTGGCGAATAATCACGTGCGAATCAGCCAACTTAAAAAAAACTACGATAACATCTCAAATCCATGTGGTAACCAAAGAACCGTGTTGGGTTGAGCAAGGCATGGTGGGGGCAGGGGGGGGGTAACATAGTTTGAAGCAAAATTCAACAAGGGGGTTCGGTCACAGTAGGTTGACAGTAGTTTGAGAACCACTGGGCCTAAGACCTAACGCTGACAGCTTTGCGCACCCTGTACAGATGGGGTCAGGGTCACAGGGGTGGGAAGGCGCCATGTGGGCGCTGTGCCCTGTACCCGGTTCATCTTGAGCAGCACGCAAGGCGTGCCGCTCGTGAAGCCGTACATGGGGTCCTCGAGGCCGGAGCAGAGCCCCAGGTCTTTGCGGGAGAAAGGGCACATGAGGGGCACGCGGCCAGGCTGCCCGGCGCCGGCCTGCTCGTCGCGGTACAGCCCCGCGTCGCAGAAGTTTTCGGAGGTGTTTTGGTAGCCTGGAAGTGGGGGGGGGGTGGTGGTTGGGGGGGGGTGCACGCATCGGCAGGGCATTCGCAAGGCAGCTGGGCAGGTACCGTGGACAGATGAGTACGCGCGCGCGTGTGCAGTAGCGTAGCGGTTAGCGCTGCTGCCCTCCGAACCTGGCGACCCGAGTTCGATTCCCGTCTCACGGCCACCAGTGATGATTATCTGAACCGGTCCTGGGCCTCCTCTAGGTCGACTCAGCCTCAAAATAAGTACCTGGTGTGGTGTGTGAACATCACTACTGGGGAGACAAAGGCGGCCGTGCGTGGTGTTGGCCATCTACCCCCTCGTGTGCCGTGCCGGCCTTCATAGGTGCTCACTAACAGCACTTGACCCAACAGTCTGTTTAGACTACACAGGATCACAGCCACACGCTCACCGATTCGCTCACCGACTCACTGCACTGCAGGCCAAAACACCTCACTTTCTGCTTCTTCCCTCGCACCTCTACAATTTGGAATTCCCTCTTTTTCCCAATTTCATATAATCTTGCTCGTTTAAAAAAAAACCTGTAAACCCTTATCTATTGCAACTTTGATCGTGCTGTTTGCTGCTGGTCACTTGGCGTTTTGGGCCTTTGGGTCCCTTGCTCCCCACCACTTTTTTATGTTTTCATTTCCTAAATGAATAGTGAGAGTTTCACAGTTATTGAACAGCTCCATTTAGTACGGTTGGCTATGTACGGTGCGAAATAAGTTCAACATACATACATAAAACACCTTGGGACGACATTGTGCATAGTCCTATCTATGATTCGAGCTTCATCTATTATTACTTAATGTTTTATAATACAAATCCACGACATTACGATGGTGAAAATGTTCGGTCAGTTTTTAAGCCGAGGATCATAAGTTGTACGCAATTCATCATCGATACCATTGGTCACTGGTTAGTTCCAGTCAGAATGAGTCCCAACTCAACTCGACAGGACAAAGATTTCCCAAGCGAGTTCTGTGACTGACACACTGCCTCACAGAGAGACCACCAGAGTGTAAGGTGACAGCCCCCTCGCGGCCCACCCTGTTCAGTGAGAAATCACAACGAATGCCGTCAATCTGGCGACCGCACGTTGACCAACGATCTCCCAGTCTCCAGAGCAACAACTCAAGAAGTGATAGACAGACAGGCGGACAGACAGACAGACAGAGGCAGACAGACAGACAGGACCAATTACATTTATTATAAATGTGGATGAATGAGACTCCCGCGGTGTATGCAGAGGGCGTTTGTTCCCGCCAAAGCACTCACTGCTCAGGAGCTCGTTGATGGAGTTCACGTAGGGCTCAAATGACTTCGGAGAGTTGCTCATGAAGTTAATTTCGAACAGCGGAGCCCTGGGCCGGATCATCAGACCTGTAGAAACGAGCAGAGGTAATCGAGCGCGTGGCTGTAATTATCTACAACAAGGAATACAGCAAGAACGTCGTGAGCTCAGAATGGCCACGTTGGAGGACTGAACCAGCCCAAGGCCACTTTATTTCCATGAACAGTCAAAATGTAGGACTCGAACTTGCACGCGCTCTCGAATCCATGAGTCCCGTTTCCTGTCTCTCAGCATTGTCCCAAGCTCCACGCGTCTTTGCACGCTTTTCAGCTATTGTCACCGTTTTGTTTGTTAATGTCCATGTTTTTCGGCACTCGAAGCTGGGGACCACTACGGTGCAACTTGACAGCTCCCAATATGAAGTCACCAGGACCCCCTTTCAATCTAAATAAATGGGAATTACTGGGTAGGGGCCACACGATGGAATGTAGCACCAGGCCCCCTGAATGCGTGGTACAAGCGAGCGACCGCCTGAAAGGGGTCATATTCTGAATGTGCGATTAAGTAAAAAAAAATCAAGTTAGGTTTCATCGGTGAGCCGCGCAGAGAACGGTGATTAAGATGCTAGGAACGTGCTGACAGTTTGCGTAGGAAAACTACCGATTCATTAGCAAGCTGGCTGAGCGGCGAGCGATGCGATTCCTCGCCGCTTGCTTGGCTCTTCGATCGGCTTAACCCTGCTTCCGGTTCCTTTTTGAAGGATTGCTAAAATAACCATGATGCATTTGGATTATATATTTTAACTTTCAGTTTAGAAATCATTCTTATCTCATTGCCCATTATTAACAATGTTTAACAAAGGCTGAAGGACTTTATCCATTTGGTCTGTCCGTCTGTTCGTAGTAAAAGGGGGGGAGGAGCGGACACACAATGACTCTCGTGAAGATGGTTCAAAGTGAACTAAACTTTTGTGTGAAGTTGTGTCGCTGTTCGGGACCCAATCTATTGAAAATGTCCAAATTAACCGGAGCGTTGCCAAAAATATGGAGGCACAAACCAGCATAACAGAGGACAATTTCAAAAAGTGCAAATGCCTTTTTTTTGCCCCGACAGCTGCTCGTCGACTTCCGCACCGCTAATTCAATACTTCCGAGGACAAACGCGTTACGTAATTTCATGCCTGTGCGGTGATTTTTGCCAGCTTGCGAATAATATTCCTTTCCATTGCGGTCGATTTAATAAACAACAGTGCTACTGTTTCAAACACAAAACACTCGCGGTTATGTGAGGATTTCCGAAACGAACGAAAAAAATAATTTATAAATTAACCCTCCCCCTGCATTTAAAAGGGCTCGTCAATTCAACGAAAAAAAAGAAATGGGCTGAAATAACGGTCCTGCATGCATTATTCAACAGAAGGGCACTGCTTTTTGTTGTTGTTTCGCTTTGGAAACTGGCCGCACCACGCCGGGGTTCTTAGTGAAGAGCGTGGAGAGTGGCAGACCCCCGTGCCCCCCCCACCACCCCCGTTAAAGGCACGACTCCGCTGGGTCTCCGTGCCAAGCCAAGCCCTGATTTATTTGCGTGTTCCCTTTCACAGGCGATCCCCTCCGTGTCTAGGCCGTCTCAATGAGAAGGCACGCCATGGCTCCCCGCAGCATGAAAGCGCTTTCGTGCGCTCGTACCGTGTGCATGCGTGAAGTGCGCCCCGTTTAATACGATCATTCAGAAAGCCACTATTAACGTACTGTAACCCGAACAGCGCGCCGTGACAAAATAATCCGGAACGCTGTCTGAGCTCGTCAGATCTCGGAAGCTGAGCAGGCTTGAGCGTGTGGAGAGTGCTTGGATGGGCGACTACCGTAACAGTGAGAGTTGTTGTTAGGCTGCGGGGCGCTACGTGGTGCACAGCAGAGGGCAGTCCAACAAAAGCCACTGTTGTATTATACGTCTATGCTCCCGCGGCTACGCTCTCCCGTCATTGCCAACCGACACTGATCAGTGTGTCGAGGTCAGATAACCCCCCATGACCCACACGGCATGAGAATACCCTCATCCAGCAGTTGATTGACCAAGGTTGTACATTTAAACAAACATTAACAATATGCATATATCTTGGTAAGTAGCGCAGAATAATGTTTATCCTGACCAGGGTTTACTCAGCTGCATCATCATCATCATGACACCTTAAACAATATTGTGTTCCACCATAACAAGTTGGAATTTTTACGACTGGCTCCGGGGCCAACATTGGATATGAGCACTGCAGTGTTTGTAAAGAAGGTGGTATTTGTAAAGAAGATGGGCGTGCTAACTTTTTAATGAATTTGTTAAAAGTTCAACCTAGACTGCATTAGGATGGATGCAAGTGTCAATATTTGTTTTTTTAGGTCATGATGCTGAAGTATGCCACGATTGCTTTTTCTTTGGATGTATGTTGAACTTCTTTCGCGCTGTACGTAGCGAACCGTGCGAGCCAACCGAGGTGCAGGGGGAAGGACAACGAACTAAACGCAAAAAAAAACACTTTTAAATAAATTATTTTTAAATTTAGATTTAAAAGCGCATAGCTTCCAGTGACTTCCTGCTGGCCGTCACACAATTGGGTTAAAAATTCTCACCAGGGCTGGAGACACGGTCCTGGTACTTGGGCAACTCGTAGCTCAGCGTCATCACCAAGGCCCACATGGTGAAGGCGAAGAGGGCACCCAGGAAGGAGAAGTACAGGAAGTAGAACAAGCAGATCTGGCCTGCGACGGCACACAGACACACGCACAAAGGTCCCTCCACGTAGCCTACATAAGAGTGTTGTTGCGAGCAACCTGTGGAGGAAGGATACGACGCACGAGGGGATGGCGTAGCCAGCACCGCGCACCCAGCCGCCTCTCTGTCTCCACGGTGCCGATGTTTACAGACTCAGGCCGAGGCGCTCATTTAAGGTTGAGTCGATCGAAGAGAGGCCGAGTACCAGTTTATATATCGTTTTGCCACTCATGCTAGCCGTGGCCGAAAATCGCATTCAGATCGCTGGGTTTGTAGCATATAATAATTTGGACTTCAACAAATTAATTTGTTGACTAACCGTTCATACTCTTTATGACAATTATTATACGTTTGCGCTTTTGCAGAAGCTCTTGAATGCAAGGAAAAACAGTAGCACACACTTACCTGCTCTCCTATGATATCGCAAGGGTGTATACCATTTACATTTCAAGCTCTGAGATTAAAATACATCAACGTTTGGATTGACTGCTGTGTAATGAGTATATTTACAGCAGGGCAACGTGAGGAGGTGCAATATCTCGCGTGTAGATTAGAGGTCGCTTGAAGGGATCTTAGAAGTAATTCTGCGTTAGTCACCCTACAGGGCGGACACAAACTACTTATTCAGTACATATCATGACAAGTTTAGATACTCAATAGAACTCCGAATAGTGCAGACCCTTTCATCACCTGTGGCATGAGCAAGCAATTGCAGAGCTGCCCCCTCACATATTCACCATCAACTCGAGTAATCTTGGATTAATAAATAATATGCCCGTGTCAAGAGCGTGGATCGTTCAGCAAAATGTATGGTAAGAAGAAGTAAAAACAAAATCACAAACTTTACTTTTTTTTAAAAATCCGGTCATGCATTCTTTACAAATGTATGAAAACTAAAATGTAAATGACCAAAAAGTAGATTTAAAATTTTTGTTTACAATGCAATAATCGCCATAGAAATGTCCTCTGGGTGCCTATTCAGTGTTACTACCTTGGGACATAGGCACTCTGTGTCCAAACTGGGCCAAACACCACACAATCAGCCGTTGTTCAATATGCAAATCGCAGCTCTTACTCCCCCCCCCACCCCAACAGCATCCACTCTCATTCTCACTCTGGCTTCAAGCATGAGGCCTCATTCACAGGAAGGTAGCGATGCTGCCACAGTGGTGTGTAATGGTTTAGGAGAGCACTGGGTCTCTGGGTTCAATTCCATCTCCCAATGCGGCAGTTGCAACGGTCCGAGTTCCTTAAATCCTCCCCACCTATGTCCACCCAGCCGAATAATTGGGCGCGCCACAGTCAGCAGTAGTTTTATCGGCAGGCCGAGTGTAGTGGGGTAAAATGTGGGCTCTCCCACCTCTTTCTAGACTTATCTAGTTGATTCCCTGACGCCAGAAGTGGCATGAACAAGCAATGGCAGGGCTGCACCTTTAACTTTCTGGGCAGCAGCCTAAAGCCTCAACCACGCTAGGAGTACAGTGGGATAAAATCCCAGTTGAGGGTCAACTCAGCCCATCATAACTTCCAGGAGCGATTAAATAAAGCACCACTTTGTGAGGTGTCAACAGCGGTTGTACTTTGGATGGGTTTTTTTCCCCTGTCTTAAGGGTGTGGAATTTTCATCACCGCTTCAAGAATGTCAATAGCGCGGAGCACTGCCCCAATGCTCATTTACATTTGGAAGGGGACAATGACCTATTCTGAGCAGCAGTCACACGTGCATGATCTCACGCTTAAGATTTCTCGCGTTCAAGAAGGAGCGGCAAGTTTTTTTCTAAACGTACATGCACAGCCCTCTTTGTCAATCCACTGCTGGATGAGGACTTCTCCACAGGCCACAGCGATGTTTCTCCACGTTTCACTACACTGGTCAGCACTGGCTGGTAAAGGTGAGAAGCATAGATGTTGGAGAACGGTACTGTACAATTGGCGTTGCTGCACCGCAGTTCGCAGACAACGTAGACCCGTAGCAAATTCTGCGTACTTTGCCGAATGCCATTAATTAATAAGTTCTCGAGTCCAAGTTGTGTTTTCTGCCCGCTGTTCTCGTCTGTTGCAACGATGTGGCGTGTTTAGCATTTCAATGAGAATTCTTTCAACGCAACGCGGCAGGGAAAACACACTTGCGATCGCATCTGCAGGCCCATGCTCTCTGACTCACACCAAGACCGCCGGTGACCTCTTTCCGCCTGTTAACTATAGTGTGTGTGTGTGTGCGAGATCAAACAGAGAGCTAACCAGAACAAGGGCCATAACAGCAATGGTACTGCATCCACAAGTTTCAAAAGAGTCTCAAGGCTCTTTTTTCGGGAGGGTAAAAGCATTTATACGTGTGGCCACTTTCCACAAGCGAGCGTTTGGCATGTGGGAGGAAATTGGAGTTCTTGGAGAATACCCACGCATACATACATACATATTAGAGGATTTGCCAAATGACTAGAACCATTCCTCCATTCGTCAACACCATGACACCGAAATAACCAATGCAAGCTTTCAGTTTCACTGTGCACAACTGCTTGCAAGACGTTCACGATTGCGAAAGGACTCTCACGCTCTCTCCCGCCTCAGACGCTATGTTGTCTCTGCCTGTGTAGCAACGTTCCTGAATAGAAGCTTGGCTAAAAACCAACGGTGGTATATTTCATCAGACTTCATTCTGACATCTGATGAGATTAGTTTGTTGCCGATTGGTTTGGTCTAGTTTTCGGGTTGTTAATGCGTGTTGTTCGGCGCGATGTTCCAACGTTTCGCTCCACTTGCTGGGGGCTTCTTGGGGAAACATTGGACATCGTGCCGGACAACACGCGGCACAACCCAAAAACGCCACAGAGAGATGCACAGCACAACCGCAAAAAAGAAATAACCTACGCAGTAATCGTAACTACAGCTGTTTCCTGACGGTGGAGAAAGCCACCCCTAGCCGGCATACGGGGACAATTTAGCCAGAGTATATTTTTTTTAATTGTTGTTGTTTTCATTTTGGAGCCCTGAACATATGACCCACGGGTGCACAGCGGGCAGCCGTCACAAATTCTTCACTGACCGCTGCAACGATCGCCAGTGCGGCAATGAACCAACAACCACCAACAGGGCTCTCGCGACGACGCTGCCGTCTAAGCAAACAAAAAAAATATTTCCTACGAACGCCACAAAAAAACGACTGGAATTTAGGATTTTTCATACATTTTGTAGAAGCTGATCCCCGTACTAGCCTCTGGTGCGACCTTGTTCAAAGGTGTACGTACATAAAGTCACAGGAGGAGCACGGCACGGTTAACGGCTTGATGTGAATCATTTAGGAGGGCTGCGTTCTGCAGTGAGGGGGGCATGGGGGGTGTGGAGAGGGTTAAGCCCCCTCCAACCCCCCCCCCCCCTGCGCTCCCCCCCCACCTGATATTACGGCGTTGTTCCCATATCACAGCAATTGGACCGGCACATCTGAGATACAAGGATTGTGTCTGGTTTTTAATTTCCACTGAACTTAACTATATATATATAAAACGACACCCTTTAAAAGAACATGGGTCAAGGTTAAGAGGTCATCGTGGCCAAATACAGTTGAAGTAAGCACCCGACGTTCCCCTTCGCTAGACCCCATCCTCAGCTGTTGGGAATTTGACACCCTCCCTACAAACGTCTCCTCGCACGGCGTTCCACCATCTGGCTTTAGGCCTCCCCCCGCTTGGTCGCCGACTTTCTGGGTGCCACTAAAATGTCACGGTTCCCTCCTCCGTCCTGCACACGTGTCCCACCCATCACAAACAAACCTCCTCTTTCTCATCATACCTCAAGTTGCTTTCTTGCCACATTGTTTTCTGAACTTCCAAGTTGCTTATAGCCTATAGTGCAATGAATTTACTGTTTTCTTTTTTGGATGAGCCTTTATTCAAAAGGCTCGAAAGTTTATTTTCTGGATGCCTTGCAAGTGAAGCGCCTATTAATCAGCATACATTACTCCCGCCTCAAAAGTCCAAGCTTTGATATTACAATTCACCTCTCTGGTCTCAAACATTTTTTAAATCAAATTTATTTCCTGTTTAAATGAGCAATGAAGTGATGCTCATCCCATTTACAGTCATGGTAACTCCTCATTATTTGTCGGGGTCGAGTCTATTCATAGAACAGCCACAGTTGACTTCACCACGAAGTGGTATCCACTTAAAGTACCACGGAGTGACAGAATAAAACCCCAGCCAGGATTTGAACTCACAATCTTCTGATTGCAAGCTGCTCACTCTGTCGCTGAACCACCTTCTATGAAAGTAATTTAAGTGTTCCATTAAAAGCTCACCCTGGGAACACCATATATGCAATCTTGACATTCTCAGAACTCCCAGTGATTTGTACATTACTGGCCGAATACACAATGTCCTCTACTTACCACATATTTTCACTTCCCTTTGACCCCTGTGGTCAGACAAGTGAGGAGACACAGAGACAGCTTTATACATTCTACAAGAGCTAGTTTTTCTTGTTAGTAAACTCTTCCTTTAGGGGCCCGGTCGTATCCAGCCCCCAGTGTCTGCAATTGATAACAGCTTCAAAGCGCTTGCCGAACAAGGTCTTCGCAAGCAACTTCTGCATCATCTCCATAGTCCAATATCTTTCACGTGCCAATGATCCACTGTGATATCTGGCTGCTTGGCTGCGTGAACACATCAGCAGTGAACCATCTTGCCCAAGCCTACATCATTGACATGCTTCACCCATATGTTCCCCTCAAGGTCCCTGAGATCTGGGGGATACATATCTTCTCTGCATTCCCAGGTCGAGGTTTCGGTCTCTGGGTGACCGAGTTTTTCCCCGGGTAGCCCCCAGGCTCTGGAATGCTCTTCCACGAGATATCAGGGATCTCTGAGCTTGTGGGCATTTTAAAAATGCATCTTAAAACCTATTTATATGTATTCTTGGTTCTTTCGGTAAAGTCACGTAGAAGGGAAATAATAAAATAATGAAAATACAACGTAGTAATATATTAAATTAAATAAAAGAACCACGAATATAAATCCCTGCAGTCACGAAAGCTTTAAATCGAAGCCTATTTATATGCTTCCGCTTATTAAACTTTTAGTTAATTTAGCAAATGGATTATTAAAATGTATTTATAATAAAATTATGTTCACGCTCAGTGTCTGCTGCTGCTGTGTCCTGTACAGCGCTTTGAGATCCTTGATGAAAAGCTGCTACATACATGGAAATATTATTGTTGCGCAGCAGCTAAATGTGGCCAAACGGAGCATCTTGGCATCGCCGAAACTGCAAATGTGGACAGATGCAGCATGGAGATGGGTACTGTAGAGATGGAATGATCTCTTGACCACACTGGATGACCATCAGATGTGACGCTATGATTGTTCAGATAATTCCATGACATGACTCCAAATCAGCTGAGATCCACTGCAGGATGAGTGCCTCCCCACTCCGTGCGGGTCACGTGGGTTATTAGGCCACAGTTCACCACGCTGGCAAGGGATGGCTTGGTGAACGTGGAGAGCATAGCCGAGAGAGCATAGAAGTACAAAACAATGGGTTTTGCTGCAATTCCCAATGCTACCCACAATTGAGATATAATCGGTGATACAAATATAAAAAGGATGTACCTTCTATGTCCCATGGCCAGTGTAGTTGAACCCAAAAGGGAGACATTATCCTGAGTGGTCAGTGCGACCGATTCATTTGAGTTTTGTTCCACCCCCAAAGCGGACCCCCATCTGCTACTGATTACCACCAATATTTTTGATGCCGTATTTCAAGAGAACCCGAAGGACAGTGAATAAACAAACTGAGCGCACTGCTCCCATAGATGAGCCCTTTTTTTTCGCCATCATGCTGCGAAGCGACTTAGAAAATTGCCCTCTATTCCACCAGCAGGGTTTCTGCCCAGATTTTTTTCTATGTCCAAAGGCTCAGCCAAACAAATGTTCTTAAATTTTGAACGATACGTTTTCTTCGTGAGACACAGAGGCGTCAGAGCTATTGCGGCATTGCAAACATATTGGAGAGAAAGCGGTAAGCGAGTTGTAAAAGGTCTAGGACTAAAACAAATAATTTCTATGCTAATTTGTTTTAGTAATTAAAATAGATTAGCATATTCTATGCAATTTCTCGAGGCTTCAGAAAATAACACGCGCCCAAACCACGTGCCTGGTGCCAATGAAGTTATACTAATCTGGTAACATACACACACCGACTACATTCTAAGGTGCACCCACAAATAATTGCATTAAAATACGGAAAAGTGTGCCTTGTAATGTAGCAAATATCGCGCATCAAGCAGTGTGTCAACACGAACGTAAGGTGGAGAGTCTGATGACATGAGACTTAATTGCTTGTTCCCGTGGAGCTGTCAAGATAAGAAACGAGCACACAACACACTCTCACACAGAAGAGAACACATTTCCAATTTACACTTAGAGCTGTTGTTAAAAGTGCTGTTAGCAAGCCCCTATTAATGTCAGTTCAACACGTGAAGTAACTAGCCGGGCCAACACCACACCCCCATCACTCTCTCACTCCCATCACTCTCTCACTCTCCCATCACTTTCTCACTCCCATCACCCCCATAACTCTCTCACTCTCATCACTCCCATCACTTTCTCGCTCCCATCACCCCGTCACTCTCTCACTCCCATTACTCTCTCACTCTCATCACTCTCTCACTCCCATGACCCTCTCACTCCCATCACCCCCATAACTCTCTCACTTCCATCACCCTCTCACTCCCATCATCCCCATTACTCTCTCACTCCCATTACCCATAACTCTCCCACTCCCATCACCCCCATAACTCTCTCACTCTCATCACTCTCTCACTTCCATGACTTTCTCACTCCCATCACTCACTCTCATCACTCTCTCACTCCCATCACCCCGTCCCTCTCTCACTCCCGTCACTCTTACTCCCATCACCCCCATCACTCTCTCACTCACTCACTCCCATCACTCTCTCACTCCCATCACCCCCATCACTTTCTCACTCCCATCACCTCCATCACTCTCTCACTCCCATCCCTCTCTCACTCCCATCACCCCATCACTCTCTCACTCCCATCACCCCATAACTCTCTCACTCCCATCACCCCATCACTCTCTCACTCCCATCACTCTCTCACTTCCATCACCCCATCACTCTCTCACTCCTATCACCCTCTAACTCCCATCACCCCCATCACTTTCTCACTCCCATCACCCCCATCACTCTCTCACTCCCATCACTCTCTCACTCCCATAACTCCCATCACCCTCTAACTCCCATCACCCCCATCACTTTCTCACTCCCATCACTCTCTCACTCCCATCACTCTCACTCCCATCACTTTCTCACTCCCATCACTTTCTCACTCCCATCACCACATCACTCCCATCACCCTCTCACTCCCATCACCCCATCACTCTCTCACTCCCATCACCCTCTAACTCCCATCATCCCATCACTCTCTCACTCCCATCACCCTCTCATTCCCATCACCCAATCACTCTCTCACTCCCATCACCCCCATCACTCTCTCACTCCCATAACCCTCTCACTCCCATCACCCTCTAACGCCCATCACCCCATCACTTTCTCACTCCTATCACTCTCTAACTCCCATCACCCCCATCACTCTCTCACTTCCATCATGCCCATCAATATCCCACTCCCATCATCCCATCACTCTCTCACTCCCATCACTCTCTCACTCCCATCACTCTCTCACCCCATCACTCTCTCACTCCCATCACCCCCACCACTCTCACTCCCATCACCCCATCACTCTCTCACTCCCATCACCCCATCACTCTCTCACTCCCATCACTCTCTCACTCCCATCACCCCATCACTCTCTCACTCCCATCACCCCATCACTCTCTCACTCCCATCACCCTCTCATTCCCATCACCCAATCACTCTCTCACTCCCATCACCCCCATCACTCTCTCACTCCTATAACTCTCTCACTCCCATCACCCCCATCACTCTCTCACTCCCATCACCCCATCACTCTCACTCCCATCACCCCATCACTCTCTCACTCCCATCACTCTCTCACTCCCATCATCCCATCACTCTCTCACTCCCATCATCCCATCACTCTCTCACTCCCATCACCCAATCACTCTCTCACCCCCATCACTCTCTCACTCCCATCACCCCATCACTCTCTCACTCCCATCACTCTCTCACTCCCATCACTCTCATCACCCCATCACTCTCATCACCCCATCACTCTCTCACTCCCATCACTCTCTAACCCCCATAACTCTCTCACTCCCATCACCCCATCACTCTCTCACTCCCATCACTTTCTCACTCCCATCACCCCATCACTCTCTCACTCCCATCACTTTCTCACTCCCATCACCCCATCACTCTCTAACCCCCATAACTCTCTCACTCCCATCACCCCATCACTCTCTCACTCCCATCACTTTCTCACTCCCATCACCCCATCACTCTCTCACTCCCATCACCCCATTACTTTCTCACCCCCACCACCACCCCCCACCACCTAACCCCCCACCAACACCCCCCCACCACCCCCCCCCCCACCTCACCCCCCACCACCTCACCCCCCACCACCACCCCCCACCACCTCACCCCCCACCACCACCCCCCCCCACCTCACCCCCCACCACCTCACCCCCCACCACCACCCCCCACCACCTCACCCCCCACCACCACCCCCCCCCCCCACCTCACCCCCCACCACCTCACCCCCCACCACCACCCCCCACCACCTCACCCCCCCCACCTCACCCCCCACCACCTCACCCCCCCACCACCACCCCCCACCACCTCACCCCCCCCCCACCTCACCCCCCACCACCTCACCCCCCACCACCCCCCACCACCTCACCCCCCCCACCTCACCCCCCACCACCTCACCCCCCACCACCACCCCCCCACCACCCCCCCCACCACCACACCCCCCACCACCTCACCCCCACCACCTCCCCCCACCACCTCACCCCAGCTCTTGGGGGTGCGCCCCACCACCTCTCCCGTGTGCGGGTTGTAGAAGAAGTGGCGCAGTCCCTTGAGGCGGTCTCCCCACGTCCTCTTCACGGGCTCCATCTCCTCCTCGTCGTCTTGCTCCTCCTCCTCGTCCTCCTCCTCGCCGTTCTGCCGCCGGGTCTGAGGCGGGACGAACGAATAAACGAACGAGTCGCGTGGCGAATGAGTTCGATGAATGAATGAATGAACGGCAGAACTTTGAGCGAGTTATTTAAACGTAGTTACGGAGAGGGGAGTGGGGGGCGGGGTAGGCGAATACGAATCGATTCCAAGTTTCCATGATCTATAATCAATTCCACCATAGCGGCCAAGCCCGGATACGGTCTCGATTCCCGATTCAATAATTTGGTTACGCCCTGGCTGAATCGGATCGAGTGGTGTGAGGAAAAAAAGAAGATAGGGGATCCACCTCCCTCAGTAATAACACAAAGAAAACGCGCGACGTTTCGGGCCATAGTCCCTTATTCACGGCGGAGAGATTTGATCTGTCAACACTCACAAGAGGCAGACCGCCGTAATGCATTTGTTAAAGTTAGAACTGCAACTTCGATAACCACCTCCCCTCACACCACTGCAATGAATGGGAACGGGGAAAAAAGGGCGGGAAAAGTTTTTAAACACTAAAAAAACTTTAAATGTACATAACGGTTACTGTAACCATTGGGTACACGACTTCGCATATTCGAGTCGCATAACTTTCAACCCATACGGTTTACCCCGTATCTTTTTTTGTACGGGGAAATAGAGTTTTAAGGTCCATACGGCGTACAGCCGTTTCAATACGGACAAAAAAAACGTTTTTGTCTTGATTTAAAGCTTTCGTGACTGCAGGGATTCATATTCTTGGTTCTTTCGGTAAAGTTACCACGTAGAAGGGAAACGATTAAATAATAAAAATATTACAATACAATTCTCACGACGTTTTGACTGCAACACAAGCAATCATCATCAGGTGTGAAAACCACAACAATAAAACAAATTTAAACCACCACTTTTTAAAAATGTTCTTGCTGTGGTTTTCACACTTGATGATGATTGCTTGTGTTGCAGTCGAAACGTCGTGAGAATTTAATTGTTTTATATTTTTTATTATTTTATTGTTTCCCTTCTATGTGAATTTACCGAGAGAACCAAGAATATTTGTCGTGAGTGTTATGTTATCTAAATTTACGGCTATTATTGTGGCACGCAATAACAATAGTAACAATGACCACTGCAAAGTATTATCTGTATTTTGATTTAGTGTGCTGATCTTAAAGGTGCATTGAACAATGTGATGCTCCGACTGATGCTCCTGTTGTTGTGGGGTGACTCATGCAACCAGCTATGTCTAGGATTTGGTGTTACATGTTATTTATGTAGTTTATTGTTAAAAATTCGGTCACAGTCCCTATGATCATTGCTTTTATGGCTTTATTTTGGTGATGGGTCTCTGTGTGAGTCTATGGGTCTCTGTGTGAGTCTATGGGTCTCTGTGTGAGTATGGGTCTCTGTGTGAGTCTATGGGTCTCTGTGTGAGTCTATGGGTCTCTGTGTGAGTCTATGGGTCTCTGTGTGAGTCTATGGGTCTCTGTGTGAGTCTATGGGTATCTGTGTGAGTCTATGGATCTCTGTGTGAGTCTATGGGTCTCTGTGTGAGTCTATGGGTATCTGTGTGAGTCTATGGATCTCTGTGTGAGTCTATGGGTCTCTGTGTGAGTCTATGGGTCTCTGTGTGAGTCTATAGGGGTCTGTGTGAGTCTATGGGTATCTGTGTGAGTCTATGGATCTCTGTGTGAGTCTATGGGTCTCTGTGTGAGTCTATGGGTCTCTGTGTGAGTCTATAGGGGTCTGTGTGAGTCTATGGGTCTCTGTGTGAGTCTATGGGTCTCTGTGTGAGTCTATGGGTCTCTTTGTGAGTCTATGGGTCTGTGTGTGAGTCTATGGGTATCTGTGTGAGTCTATGGATCTCTGTGTGAGTCTATGGGTCTCTGTGTGAGTCTATGGGTCTCTGTGTGAGTCTATAGGGGTCTGTGTGAGTCTATGGGTCTCTGTGTGAGTCTATGGGTCTCTGTGTGAGTCTATGGGTCTCTGTGTGAGTCTATGGGTCTCTGTGTGAGTCTATAGGGGTCTCTGTGAGTCTATGGGTCTCTGTGTGAGTCTATGGGTCTCTGTGTGAGCCTATGGGTCTCTGTGTGAGTCTATGGGTCTCTGTGTGAGTCTATGGGTCTCTGTGAGTCTATGGGTCTCTGTGTGAGTCTATGGGTCTCTGTGTGAGTCTATGGGTCTCTGTGTGAGTCTATGGGTCTCTGTGTGAGTCTATGGGTCTCTGTGTGAGTCTCTAGGGGTCTGTGTGAGTCTATGGGTCTCTGTGTGAGTCTATGGGTCTCTGTGTGAGCCTATGGGTCTCTGTGTGAATCTATGGGTCTCTGTGTGAGTCTATGGGTCTCTGTGTGAGTCTATGGGTCTCTGTGTGAGTCTATGGGTCTCTGTGTGAGTCTATGGGTCTCTGTGTGAGTCTATGGGTCTCTGTGTGAGTCTATGGGTCTCTGTGTGAGTCTATGGGTATCTGTGTGAGTCTATGGATCTCTGTGTGAGTCTATGGGTCTCTGTGTGAGTCTATGGGTCTCTGTGTGAGTCTATAGGGGTCTGTGTGAGTCTATGGGTCTCTGTGTGAGTCTATGGGTCTCTGTGTGAGCCTATGGGTCTCTGTGTGAGTCTATGGGTCTCTGTGTGAGTCTATGGGTCTCTGTGAGTCTATGGGTCTCTGTGTGAGTCTATGGGTCTCTGTGTGAGTCTATGGGTCTCTGTGTGAGTCTATGGGTCTCTGTGTGAGTCTATGGGTCTCTGTGTGAGTCTATAGGGGTCTGTGTGAGTCTATGGGTCTCTGTGTGAGTCTATGGGTCTCTGTGTGAGCCTATGCGTCTCTGTGTGAGTCTATGGGTCTCTGTGTGAGTCTATGGGTCTCTGTGAGTCTATGGGTCTCTGTGTGAGTCTATGGGTCTCTGTGTGAGTCTATGGGTCTCTGTGTGAGTCTATGGGTCTCTGTGTGAGTCTATGAGTCTCTGTGTGAGTCTATGGGTCTCTGTGTGAGTCTATGGCTCTCTGTGTCAGTCTATGGGTCTCTGTGAGTCTATGGGCCTCTGTGTGAGTCTATGGGTCTCTGTGTGAGCCTATGGGTCTCTGTGTGAGTCTATGGGTCTCTGTGTGAGTCTATGGGTCTCTATGTGAGTCTATGGGTCTATGTGTGAGTCTATGGGTCTCTGTGTGAGTCTATGGGTCTCTGTATGAGTCTATGGGTCTCTGTGTGAGTCTATGGGTCTCTGTGTGAGTCTATGGGTCTCTGTGTGAGTCTATGGGTCTCTGTGTGAGTCTATGGGTCTCTGTGTGAGTCTATGGGTGTCTGTGTGAGTCTATGGGTCTCTGTGTGAGTCTATGGGTCTCTGTGTGAGTCTATGGGTCTCTGTGTGAGTCTATGGGTCTCTGTGTGAGTCTATGGGTCTCTGTGTGAGTCTATAGGGGTCTGTGTGAGTCTATGGGTCTCTGTGTGAGTCTATGGGTCTCTGTGTGAGCCTATGCGTCTCTGTGTGAGTCTATGGGTCTCTGTGTGAGTCTATGGGTCTCTGTGAGTCTATGGGTCTCTGTGTGAGTCTATGGGTCTCTGTGTGAGTCTATGGGTCTCTGTGTGAGTCTATGGGTCTCTGTGTGAGTCTATGAGTCTCTGTGTGAGTCTATGGGTCTCTGTGTGAGTCTATGGGTCTCTGTGTCAGTCTATGGGTCTCTGTGAGTCTATGGGCCTCTGTGAGTCTATGGGTCTCTGTGTGAGTCTATGGGTCTCTGTGTGAGTCTATGGGTCTCTGTGTGAGTCTATGGGTCTCTGTGTGAGTCTATGAGTCTCTGTGTGAGTCTATGGGTCTCTGTGTGAGTCTATGGGTCTCTGTGTCAGTCTATGGGTCTCTGTGAGTCTATGGGCCTCTGTGTGAGTCTATGGGTCTCTGTGTGAGCCTATGGGTCTCTGTGTGAGTCTATAGGTCTCTGTGTGAGTCTATGGGTCTCTATGTGAGTCTATGGGTCTATGTGTGAGTCTATGGGTCTCTGTGTGAGTCTATGGGTCTCTGTATGAGTCTATGGGTCTCTGTGTGAGTCTATGGGTCTCTGTGTGAGTCTATGGGTCTCTGTGTGAGTCTATGGGTCTCTGTGTGAGTCTATGGGTCTCTGTGTGAGTCTATGGGTCTCTGTGTGAGTCTATGGGTCTCTGTGTGAGTCTATGGGTCTCTGTGTGAGTCTATGGGTCTCTGTGTGAGTCTATGGGTCTCTGTGTGAGCCTATGGGTCTCTGTGTGAGTCTATGGGTCTCTGTGTGAGTCTATGGGTCTCTGTGAGTCTATGGGTCTCTGTGTGAGTCTATGGGTCTCTGTGTGAGTCTATGGGTCTCTGTGTGAGTCTATGGGTCTCTGTGTGAGTCTATGGGTCTCTGTGTGAGTCTATAGGGGTCTGTGTGAGTCTATGGGTCTCTGTGTGAGTCTATGGGTCTCTGTGTGAGCCTATGCGTCTCTGTGTGAGTCTATGGGTCTCTGTGTGAGTCTATGGGTCTCTGTGAGTCTATGGGTCTCTGTGTGAGTCTATGGGTCTCTGTGTGAGTCTATGGGTCTCTGTGTGAGTCTATGGGTCTCTGTGTGAGTCTATGAGTCTCTGTGTGAGTCTATGGGTCTCTGTGTGAGTCTATGGCTCTCTGTGTCAGTCTATGGGTCTCTGTGAGTCTATGGGCCTCTGTGTGAGTCTATGGGTCTCTGTGTGAGCCTATGGGTCTCTGTGTGAGTCTATGGGTCTCTGTGTGAGTCTATGGGTCTCTATGTGAGTCTATGGGTCTATGTGTGAGTCTATGGGTCTCTGTGTGAGTCTATGGGTCTCTGTATGAGTCTATGGGTCTCTGTGTGAGTCTATGGGTCTCTGTGTGAGTCTATGGGTCTCTGTGTGAGTCTATGGGTCTCTGTGTGAGTCTATGGGTCTCTGTGTGAGTCTATGGGTGTCTGTGTGAGTCTATGGGTCTCTGTGTGAGTCTATGGGTCTCTGTGTGAGTCTATGGGTCTCTGTGTGAGTCTATGGGTCTCTGTGTGAGTCTATGGGTCTCTTGTGTGAGTC